AATGTTGCCGTTGAGCATTGGGCTCGGCAGACTTGAATAAAGGAGGTCACCAAGTGCAGCAGCGGGTTGGTCCCCGTCGGCGTCTGCCTCCGCACTGCGTATCCCTCAGCATCAGGTGAGGGTGCTGCGCCAGTTGGTCTCGTAACAGTCGACGCCAGCATTCGCTGGTCGTAATATCGGGCAGTCTAGGCATGTAGTTGCTTAGCCACGTCGGCGAGCCTTTGCCTTTGAATAGCGGAAGCACAATCCCATGCTTCCAGGAAAGAGCCTCTTGCTGGTGGACGCTGGTCTTCGCAAATATCGGAGTATAGTGCCTGGCCAGCGCTTCGGGATGCGACGATGGCAAGTCGCTAGAAATCGGATCCTGGCCTGGGGCCTTCCTTCTCTTAACGCCTCGAAAGGGACGTCCAACTTGAAGAGGTTCAGGGGCTGGGTCCGCGCAGAGGCCAGCCCGTGCAAGGTCACGATGCAGACGTTGGTTATACAGCTTCTGCAGATTGTCAATCGCCATCACATCGGCGTCTTCTGTCTGTGCAAAGTGATGGGCGATGGCCTCAGCTTCTTGTTTGTCGGTCTTGCAGGCTAAACCAGCGTCGTCGGCGGGCTGTAAACTGCGCCCCGCCTTCCCAGACCGCCCACCGTAGCGTGGTAGCCCCTTCGGGGGCCGCCGCTCATGATGGGCATCGTCACGAGTAGAACATGCCTACATTTCAGCGCCAATGTTTTCAAGATGCTGCGCTCGATCGGCCTGAGTCGCTGATGCCACTAGCAGGAACAATCGCAGCCTTCCTACAACTATCTCGTCCGCAAGCTTCGGGTCGCAGCGCTTGGCGCTGCAAGGAAGCCCGAGACGCCGTACCTCTTGAGCCCGCGGCTTGTCGTCTGATGGGTAGAGGAGCATGTCATCGAGGTGGGTCAGGAGTAGGGCTTAGGGCGCGGTGTGGTTGGTGTTCGTCGATATCCGGGTGGCCTTAGCGACGCACCTTCGAAGCCTCGCCAGCTCCGCTGTCGCAATTGTGATGCAAGACTGGTGCGGAGTCAAACACCCAGCTCCATGACACTCCACAGCTGCCTTCCGAACCATGTTATCCGCCTGCATCGGGTGAGCGTTCGCGTCCATATTCCATGTCGCTAGTGTCTCTGCTGCTCGCTCTGCATCGAACTTGTCGCGGCAGTCTGAGTCTGGAATCTTAGCTGGGTCCAGTTTACATGCGGCCATTCCTTTCTCTATGGTCTTGGCTATGGCGTGGCTGTGCGTCGCCAGCGCGGGGAAGTGGTCCACGGTGTCGGTGCACGTGACCAGGGCATGGTCAATCTCGCACTGGGTGCACTAGCCATGGAAGATAGGGATGGGGATGGCGCGGCCGTTTTTTTTTTTCGGATCGTACCCGCGCTGCTGACGCACGCGTGCCCAGACGCACCTGGGCGGCATGTGGGGCCCACAAACAACTCGCGCTCTACAATGACTTGGCGGAAAAGGTGGCCTGGAATATCGTCCTCGATTGGCGCGCGCACTGGGTCCAGATGCCCCCCAATTCCCACGTGTCCCCCTTGTCGTGGATGCATCCTGGGCCGGGCTCCGAGGCGCGCGTTGAGGTCGCCCAGGATGAGAGCGGGAGGCCATTAAGAAGGAAGGCGTCGAAGCTTGCCCGCCAATCTTCGCAGTCTAGTGTCTGATGCCCCAAATAGACCTCATGCGCCACGTGCGCGATCTCGAACTCATCGAAGAACCGCACCTTACAGATAAAAAGTCTCTCGCTCGCATGGAGTGCTCGAACGTCAGATCTCTTGAAACACCTCGGTCCTGTAGGGCCAATACCGCGCGGCTGGACTGTGTCTAGAAGAAGGGAACAGCCGAGCTTTTCTTATCGCCAGAGCGTTGCTGGCGCAGGCGCCTTTTGACATCCAACAAGTTGGAGTCCCTGATCCCGAAATTGGCATCGAAGAAGCTGGGCTCGAATAGGTTGGCCAGGCGCCCCTGCGTCTCCCATCGCAGCCCGCTGGCATTTGAAAGTGGCCGCTTTCAGGTTCAGCGGGTAAGTTCGTGAAATCGTAACCGTTTTGGCTTCGTCGTGAAATTCCACCTTCTGGCTCTCGGGCTCGGCGAGAAGGCCGCGCTGGTCGGCGGGCGGATAAGCGTGCCGATCGGGGTGGTGGGTATCGCGAAGAAAGGCCCATTGCATGCCTGCCGCGTGCTTCATGTTCTGAGCAATCGCCTGTTGTAGCTCTGGTAGTGGTCGAACTCTCGCACATTTTGCAATCGCATCGCACAGCTCGTTCCACGGGCTGCCCTCATGGCCTCCAGTGTGCTTGAGCTTGATAGGGCGTGCTCTGGAAACCTCCGAGAACGCGTGCGCAGAAAGATCAGACAAGCTGCCCCGCTGCGAAAGGCCTGACGCTGTAGTCGTCAGAGCGGGGAGGCAGTCGCAGATAAGTTCTATTGGGAACTGCCGCGGGATCTGCAGGGAGTAGAGGATCGCCCACAGCAAACCCGCCGTCTCGGTAGCGACGCCGGAGATAGAAGTGTCGGGGATGTCGAAGTTCGCGCAGCCTTTCAAGTATGAGCTGAAGAAACCATCGAAGCACTTCGACTTCAGACTGCCCGATCTCACTGAACAAGCCCACGCACTCTGGCCAGGGTCATCGTCCCAGTGCGAGCCGTCGCAGCAGGTGGTGTAGTGCTCCACTGGCGACTTATGCGGCGTCGCAAAGCGGAGGACCAGAAGGGCGTGCTGATGCAGAACCAATCCAGCAAGAACACCGCGAAGCCTGATGTGCCAGCCTCGTTGAGCATGTAATGCAGGAACTGGCAGGGGGATGCTGCACCTGACGATCGGCGCTGCAAAGTCACCTGGCTCATCGTCCTGACCCTGTCGTTCGACAGATGGATGAGGAGAGAGAAGGTTGATCGTCTCCGCGCTTGACCCAACGGAGACGACGGCTGGTGAAACTTGCGCGACAGCGCGGTGAGCAGTGCGTACTCTCGTTGGTACGTTACCAGGACTGTGAAGATGCCGCACACGGCTTGCCCCAGCTGTCTCGATTGCAACTTGCTGTCGCCGAAGACCGTCCAACTTGTTTGTCGACCTCAAAAGTCCATCCCGTGCTTCTTTTTCTTTCGCCAGTGGAGTCTTCATTTGCCAAAGCATGAATTACAATATGGCCATTTCCCTCCTTTGCGCGTGAGTGTTAGTCATAGCCTCCTTGCCTTTGATGACGATCTCGGCGGGCGTGTGTAACCTGGACGTCACTTCTTCACTTTGTCTTGCTAACGAGCCTTGTCCAGATGGAGGTGGTCGGTAAATGTTGCCTCGCCTGGCATAATCCGTAGTGCATATCATCATCTCCTGAATGCAATGCTTGATCTCGTCCTTGAGCTTGGCCGCATCTTTGATCGTAGACTTTCATCATGTACGCGTTGGCAATGCTGCCGATATGAAATACTGCATTGGCGATTCCGATACCGATCATCACCATGATTCATGTTGCCACATCCAATGCATTTCCAGTTTGGCATTCTTGCGCCAATGCGATCGGAACCAGCTTGCCCACGTCCACCTCCTTTGTGTGCCACGCTGCTCGGGTGATGACTGGCCCGCAAACGACGCGCCTTCAGCACCTGGAGGACGGTCCTCGCATTCCCCCGGCGGCGCCTCGCGCGCCTGTGCCAAGCTGGCTCGGGGCGCTTGGCCGTCGGTCTCCCTCTGGCCGCAGGGCGGGCGCCCTGCCCGCTGCAGCCCAGCGCCGCCCGCTGCGGGCAGCCGCCGGCAGAGACCGCTGCAGCGGCGGGGGATATGGTGGGGTCCTCCCCCCCGCGCGGCCCCTATGGCGGGCCTCGCTGCCGCCGCCCGCGCGTGGGCCAGCGCGAGGCCGTCCCGCCCCGAGCGGGCAGACGGCTCCCTCCTCCTCCTCTTCCTCCTCCTCTTCCTCCTCCTTTTCCTCCTCCTCCTTCTCCTTCTCCCCCTCCCCCCGAACTAGTCCATAAGATCAAGCAGGTCCTCGCAGACCTGGTAAATCCATTGTCAGGGGGGAAAAAAACCACCCCGACCCCGACATTTGCCGTTGACCAAGCGGCCCTGGGCGTTTACTACCCTGCCCTGTCCGACTTGTCCCATGGGTGCGTTTACGAAACGGTTTCGCTTGTCGGGGTGCTTCGTATAGGGGGGGGATCTTCTGCTCTCTACATTGGAAGCTCATCTAGGGCCCCAGCGGGTCTGCTGTCCCCCCGCCTACTTCGGCACACCCCGCACACGCATCGTGTCCCACAGTGGGCACCGCTTGCGTACGGCCAGTGGACACGCCCGCATGGCGAGCCAGAGCCCCTTTGTGGCACACCCCTCGCACGGATCATGCCCCACGGGTAGCACCGCTTACGGCCCCAGTGGGCACGCCCGTATGGCGACCCACCGCCCATTTCAGCGCACCCACAATACCCCACAGGGAGCACCACTCACGGCCTTAGTGGGCACGCCCACATCGCGTATTCCCGCCCATCTCGGCACACCCTTCGCAGGGATCGTGCACCATAGGTCGGTCCCCAGTGGGAACGCCCGCATGGCCCCCCCCCCTCCGTTTCGCCACCTTCACACGGATCATGCTCCATAGGGAGTTCCACTTACGGCCCCATTGGGCGCGTCCTCACGGCGTCACTCCGTTCCTTCGGCACGCCTCTCACGCGGATCGTGACTCACAATGAGAAAGGAAGGGGGAGGCTTTCATGCTCTCTTTGACCTCCTCGTCTTTCTTCTTCACCTCATTCTCTTGCTTTCCATGAGCCCTTTCCTCTTTGGCTTTATCTGATCCTCAGACTCTGATATCATGGATACTGCTCTGCGCTGCGCGCAGTGGCATAGGGTTGGGCCCTTCTCCGTCGCCAGGCCAATTTCCTCCCTCCCTCCTTCCTTCCCTCCCTCTCCTCTCCTCTTCATCCTCCCCCTCCATTCACTTGGAGGATCTGAAGGATCTGACTCGCCTCTGGCCGGTTTGGCCAGTGTCCTCAGGCACAGGCTACACGGAGGACAGCGACTGGGGCAAGAGGCTGCGTAGCCTCGAAATCGGCACGAAGGTAGTGCCGGCTAAGGAGGCCAGCATCGAGCTGTGCGCGGAGGGTTTGAGACTCGTTGTCGAGGACGGGGTCGACGTCATCGCCTTGGCCGTGAAGGCTGATGATTTTGGTTTCTTGGCGGACACGGGGGCACCAAAGAGGCACGCATACAGCGTTCAGCTCTAATTGTATTTCTCCTCGCTCCTCTTCCTCCTCCCCTTCCTCGTCATGCTGCTGCCGCTGATGCTGCTGCCCCTGGTTCTCCTCTTCCCTCCCCCGTTTTATGATTCACTCTCCTACTAGTGCTTCTCCTTAAGCTCGGATTCCTCATCATCGTCGCCATAATCATCATTATCATCATCGTCAATTTACCCTTTGCACTCCCTCCTCGTCACCCACCTATCTTCCTCCTCCTCCTTTCCATCCTCACCCCTCCGCCTCCTCGGCATCAATCTCATCCTCCCTCGGGGGCTTTCGTTCAATTCCCAGGTCTCATGAAGATGAATATGTATTTGTTCTTGTGCGAGGAGGAAGAGGAAGAGGAATACGATGAGGACGAGGAGGAGGAGGAGGCGACGATGAAAGATAAGAGCGGCGGAGTGGAATATTGAGAACGAAGAACAAGATGATGCGAGGGTGGATGAGAAGGAGAAGGAGGAGGAGGAGAAGGAGGAGGAGAAGGAAGGGAAAGGGAAGATGGGGTGGAGGGGAGGAGGGATGAGGGGGGAGGAGGGTGAGGAGCAGGAGTGAGGAGGAAGAGGAGGAGGAGGAGAAGGAGGAGAAGGAGGAGGAGAGGAGAAGGATAATAATATTAAGACGAAGGAGGAGGAGGAGGAGGAGGAGGAGGAGTGACAAGGAGGAGGGGTGAGTAGGAGGAGGAAGGCAAGGAGGAGCTGGGAAATGCTGAGGAGAAGGAGGCAGGCCTGACCAAGAAGAGAGAACTGGAGTCTTCTAGTGACGGGCGAGTTGTGGAATAGTAAGTCTTGCTTCCGCCCCGGATCCTGACCCCCAGAGGTCCCCAGGAACTGGAAAGGGCTAGAAACGTCCAAAAGCCCACCGAAAACGTCAGAGAGCCTCTTTCCCCGATCCTCGAGCGTGCGGCACAGCGTGCGCTCAGCGTGCGCGCACAGCTGGACGCCCTGTCAGGACAAGCTGCGCATGGCGGGCAGGGCCCCGGGGGTTCCGAAGTTCTCCATTATGGAGATCGGCCCTCCCGAGGACTCGGGACCAGGAGGAGGAGGAGAGGGAGGAGTGGGGGGAATCAGATACATCAGAAGAGAGGGGGTGGATGAGGAGGAGGAGGAGGAGGAGGTGGAGCAGCGGACCAGAATGGCCAGGGCACTTTTCCCGACCACTTGCGGAGGAGGAGGCTCGAAGGGGGAGGAGCAGCGGAATAGAATGGCTACGGCATTTTTCCCGACCACCTGCGGAGGAGGAGGCTCGGAGGGCACTGAGGGGTGGTGGATGCTACAGGAGGAAGACATGCGAGTCGACCGCTGAGAGCGTGTTGACCGCCAGAGCTATGCTCATCGAGTTTCTGAGCAGCATCTTGACTTGAAACATAAGTTTACAGTACCAGTGATTGCCTAAGGCCAGCCAGTACCGCCTGAGCCAGCCTTCCACGGCAGGAAACCGCATTCTTGACATTGTCATCATTTTGCACATCTTGTGCTCTGTACTGCCAACCTTGACTAAACACGGTGGGAGGGGGCTGATGATGAGATGGAGCAGGAGAAGGAGGAGGAGGTTCCTTGCTGCACTTGTGCCTGCAGCATAAGCTGGGTTTCTTTTATTTTCTTTCTTCTACAGCCGCGAGGCGCCTTCCTTTATTCCGCACTGTTGCAGGGCACAGGCTTGCCGCTATTTTTCCGCAGCTGACGCCACAAGCTTGCTCTTCAGGTTCGATCGACGTCAAAATGGAACATGATGTAATGGAACGGAATGCCCAGCTCGCGAAGCGAAATTCTTGACGCTTCGCGTATCCCCACCAGCCCCGCCCTCCTTGTGGCGATCTGGAACTCCTCCGTTGAGCGCCTGCACGCCCGCTCGTCGTTCTCGTTGGTGGCGCTTCCACGATCCCCCCTTGGCGTTCCGGAGCACTTCCGCCGTGCGTCTGCACTCTTGTTCATCGCCCTCTACGGCCTCCTGGTGGTCTTCGAGTTCGACGTCATCCTGCTCTTCGCCATTTTGGCGCTGCACGTGGACCTGGTGCTATGGGTCGCCCGCGTATGAGGCGCTGCGTAGCTCGCTCCTGTTCACTTAGTGGTTAATTCCGGCTTTTGCTAGCTGGCAAGATATCCCCTCAAGCAGCACTGGTAAACTAAAACCTCTTGAGCCTAGTAGGCGAGGGCTCAAGAGGGGAGGAACAAGGGACGGACGCGGCCTCAGATGATGACGACGACCTTTTTGCCAAAGGGGCAGCGGTGCACCTCTGTGCCGGCGCCCGGCGCTCCACGCGCCGGCGCCCGTCTTCGGCCACGCGTAGCGGGCCACGCCGCCGCCGAGGCACCCTAGCGCCTCGGCGGCGCTGTAAAAGACCAGAAAAGGGCGGGTAGGGAGCCCTGAGGGGCTCCCAGGGTGGGCCAGCTTGGCCATTGAAAAGGCTTGAGCCGCCAAGCGGCGGCGAAGAGAGAGGGAGCGAGAAAGGGCAAGCAAAGAGGCAAGGGCAGGAGCAAGGGAACCGCAAGTGGAAGCCCGCGCCAGTTCTGGAAGCGGGGAGATCCATCAGTTTTACCAAACATCCTAGATATCCCCTCAAGCAGCACTGGTAAACTAAAACCTCTTGAGCCTAGTAGGCGAGGGCTCAAGAGGGGAGGAACAAGTGACGGACGCGGCCTCGGATGACGACGACGACCTTTTTGCCAAAGGGGCAGTGCTGCACCTCTGTGCCGGCGCCCGGCGCTCCACGCGCCGGCGCCCGTCTTCGGCCACGCGTAGCGGGCCACGCCGCCATCCTCCTCCTGCGCGCGCACCACCGCGCCGAACTGGCTGTAGTGGGTCGCGTAGTCGCCGATCTTGTCGGCGTAGAACTCAACAGTCTCGCCATCTGCGGCACGCTGCCGCGTCTGCCCAGCAAGGTGGGCCCGCGGGCGCAGGGCGGCACGCCGCCGGCGCCTGCGGTGGTTCTTCGTGCGCCGGCGGCAGCCCTGGCAGGGCCGGTCGCCGGCGCCCCCTCGTAGCCGCCGCCGCCGCCCCCCATGACGGCACTGCCGGTTGTCGGGCCAGCGCGGCGCTCTTGCCCTCAGGCGCCAGCTGCCGCCGCACCGCGCCCAGCTGCTCGCAAGCGCAAAGCTGAGCGCGAGCGCCAGGCTGAGCTCGGCCGGCGTCGCGCGGCCGCTCGCACGGCGGGCGCCGGCGGCGGTGGTTCCTCATGCGCCCTGTGCGGCCGCCCTAGCTGGGCTAGCCGCCGGCGCCCCCTCGTAGCTGCCACTGCCGCCCCCATGACGGCACTGCCGGGCGCCAGGCCGGCGCGGCTCTCTGCCCGCGGGCAGCAGCGGCCGCTGCTCGCGCCCAGCTTGTCGCAAGTGCAAAGTTGATCGCGAGCGCCAGGCTGAACTCAGCCGGCGCCGCGCGGCCGCCCGCGCGGCGGTTGTCGGCGGTGGTTCTCTGCTGCCCGCTCGGCCGTTGGCCGGCGGCAGCCCTGCGCCTCAGTCGCGATGCGGCCTCTGCTCTCCTCCCCGGGGCCATTCTGGCGACCCGCGGTGCCTTGGCGGGGCCACTTCCCGCGTCGCCTCGTTGGCCCGGCGGAAGCCCTGGGTCTCGCGCGCGCGCCTCGCGCCGTTGTAGCGCACCGGGCCCATCGCCCCTGCGTCGCAGTGCGTCCTCTGCGGCTGCTTGGGAAGCTTGGGCGCCTTAGGCGTCGGCTGCGCTGTGGCCTGCTGTGCTTCTGGCTCCGGCATCTTCTCGTTCTTCTCGGCCATCCTGCAGCAGCAGCAGCAGAGCACCCCGATGCCCGCCGCAAGCAGCACTGCAATCGTGGCCACCACTTTCAGCGCCGTCTCCACCGGGAAGACGATCGCCACCGTGCCCATCTGCGGCTCCCAGCGGAGCGTGACCCCCTGGGCCCTGCCGTCGGCTGCTGCCACTTTCTGGCTCTGTATCTCACCAGCTGCCGTTGTGAGCGCCGTCGCCACCAGCGTTGCGCACAGCATGCCTGCGCGGGGGTTGCGGGCTCTGCGGTTGCTGCCGCGCCCGATGGCCGCCCATCCGCTCCTTCGCTGCTGCCTGCACTGCCAAGCAGCGCCTAGCAGCACCTCTGCCAGCAGCGCCCCCGCCGTCATTGCCCACGCCCCCAAGCCGACCGGGAGCGCGAATATCAGCAGGTTCTGGCTCTCCGCGGGGTCGACCTTGATCACGTAGCCGTCTGCGCCGCCAGTCGCGGCGGCGAGTGTCGTCGTGGCCAGCGCCGCTCTGGGCCACAGCGGGGTCGGGCTCTTGCCCGCGCGGCGCTCGCCTTCGGCCGCGTGGGCCGGCGGCGCCGTGAGCTCGGACGTGTCTGTCGCCATGTCGGTCGAGATGCCGCGCATGGGCTCGTGGCTCCCCCACAGGTACCCGTGGAAGCTGTCGGAGGTCCAGCGCCCGAAGCGCTTGACGCGCTGCAGGTCGTCCACGGCGTGGTGCGTCGCCGTCGCGCCTCCGATGCGGAGGCTGCGCGGGCCGATCTCCTCCTTCCTCGGCCCGGCGGCCAGCCCCGCGATCGCCAGGTAGTGTTGCACCTCCTCGCGGCGGATGGGTGCCCCGCTCGCCCAGCGGAAGAGCGGGGGCTCCTCCTCACTCCCTCGCAGCCTCTGCGGGTAGTGCTGCTCCAGCTGGCGGAGGGCAGCCACGGGGCACAGCGACGTGCCTGTCTGATACTGATTCTTCACGCACCCCACATTGTACTGGTCCGTCTTCGAAGAGGTGATGTGGAGCACCACCTCCACCGCGTCCTTGAAGGGGCAGGGCTGGTTGTTGCCGTCGCGGCCCGTGATGTCCACGCCGCGCGCGATGCGCTCTCGGCCCCATGTCTTCCCAGGCTGGATCAGGTACTCTGACGCCCTCAACATGAAGAAGAAGGCCGCCGCCACGGCGGCCCACAAGACCGCGGTGTCCGTCTCGGGGAGGTCCGTCTGGTCCCTCAAGAAGCCTTGGAGCCACAGGAGCATGCGCGGTGTCACGGGCCGCTTCCGCCCGCTCGGCCCTTGGCCTCTCCTGAGGCCGGCGAGCGTGGACCAGAGGCGCCCTCGGTGGAGTAGAGGGTCTGGGTGTCCGACCACGAGGTGGGCGAAGCGCACCGCGAACAACTTCTGTTTGATCGTGCCTTCCGTGCGCTTCAGCACCTTGGCCAGCGCGACGACGAAGCCCAGCAGTGCCTCCTCGTTGGCGTGGCGTTCCTCGCGATCGCGTCCCTCCAGCCAGGGCGACTCTCCCTGGGTTGCCCTGAGGCCCTGCCACTGTCGCCAGCCGGTCTCGTAGCCGGCGCGGGTCCCCTCGGACAGCCGTAGCATCAGTGCCTCGCGCTTCTGCTCCTCGATCCACCCGCCGTAGTCCTCCCCTCCCAGGGTCGGGTGGTCCGGCAGGGCGATGGCGGCCCGAGCCCGGCCCAGCGCGACCGGCTTGACCAACCCCTGGGTCTCCACCTTCTTGCCCCGGTTGGGGCTCCGCTTCCGCCGATTCTTGAGTGTGCTGACGGCTGCGTTCAGGTCCACCTCCTTGGCATCAGGAGGGGGCTCGGGGCCCTGCACGAGGTCCTCCTCGATTGCCTAGAAGCGGACGCCTTGGCTCTTGCGCCTCGCCTTGTGGGTGTCGTCGCTCAGCACCCCTGCGTGCTGGTCGTCCTCGGTGGTTTCGGCCTTCGCCCGGAGCTCGCCCCGTGCCCAAGCCCTGAGCCACCGCCGGGTCGTCTCCCAGGCGGCCGACTCCGCGGGGTCACGGCAGCGCGCCCGCCCGCTGGGTGGTCTGCAACAGCGCGTCCGCAGTGGCGCCCAGGACGGCTCTCGCCGTCTCGGGTGGCAAGGCCCTCGCTGCTTCTCGCATCAAGGTGGCCTCAGTGTCGCCCTGGGCCCGCCTCCTCGCCCAAGCTGCCTCGTCGCCCCCCTGCACGACCCAGACCTCCTCAGGCGACAGCGCCCTGATGCGCCCGCCGCTGCTCCCTGGGACGTGGATCAACGTTCCTCCCGGTCCGCCCGGGCCCTCTGTGGGCCAGCGTTCCGTGCCGATCGGGCCGTCGATTGAGCAGACCAGGTGCTTCGTGCCAGCGAGCTTGATGTGGCCGATGCCCTGGGGCAGCATGGGGTCGGAACCTCCTCGAGCTGCTGGGTCCCAGGTGACGTTCCCCTCGTCGTCGAGCCAGTGGTGATCGCCTTCGCTGAGCTTGTCCTTCAGCGCGTGCTTCACCCCGTGGGGGCAGCGGCGCGCCGGCGGCATACGCATGCCCGCCAGGCTAGCGCCTGCTGGTCCCCGGCCCGCCACGAGCAAGCTCCGAGCTCGGGCCGTCATGTCGCCGTAGTGGGTGCAGACGACCTCCAGGTCGTACGTGCGGTATCCCAGCTTGCGCAGCGCCTTGACGACGCGGGTCAGGTCGAGCTTGCCAGGGGCGTCGACCACGACGATCTGCGGCCTCGCCCGGGTGACTGCGGACACCAGTTTCTCGACTTCGAAGCCCTTCGGGTCCAGGGACAGCGTGCACATGATCCAGTCCACCTCCGTTGGGCTGCCCGTCGTCAGCTCACCACCTAGCTGCTCCCAGGCGCGCCCGCACGTCCCCAGCGGGCTTCCGAGCTCCAGTCCCCGGCGCCCTTTGAGGGCGAGGCTGCGTTGTACTGCTGCCGGAGTCCTCAGCGCCCGATGGCGGAGCGCTGACTCCGCAATGGGCCCTTCCCCCCCAGGCAGTCGCAGGAGGTGCTCCTTATCCTCGGCCAACATCTTCCCCCACTCCTCGGGCGGCTCGATGCGGGCCCACCCCTTGCGTAGGAGCTCGGAGTGGACCTTCTTGGCTTCCTCCCGCGACAGCCAGTCCGCGATGTCGTTGTGGTAAGTGCGGATGTACAGTGCGGTCGTGCTGAACCCGTGGCAAGCCTCTAGGCGCTGAATGAGGCGACTGAGGTTCCTCGCGAGCGGGTGCTTGGGCCGCCTCTTGGAAATCCACGACCGCACATTCATGTTATCGGTAACGTAGAAGACCAGCTCGCCCCGCCACTCGCCACCCCTTGCGGCGGCCAGGGCCACGAACGCGAGCAGCTCAACGATGGCTA